GATTTTAAGAGCTTAAATCTGATTGGAAGAAATGTTAGGACATTTACCTTGAAACCTCACTTGCATAGTAAGGAAAATGTTTCATATGTTTATTTGTGTCAACTTCTTGGGGGGCTGTTAGAGATTATGGGGTGCATGTTAGCATTTCTCCACCTACATCATGGTGCGTCTACTGGCACAGTAACAGCAGGATGTGACAATTCAAAAGAAAATTTGAAGACATGGACATTATATTCAGTTGGAAAAAATTAGGGAAGGCTTTTGGGTGGGAGATAGACCTTGGAAGCAAAGAATAGAATTTTCCGAGGTAAAATATGAAGATGAGAAAAGATTTGGATACAAGAAATTATGTTCAGGGAAGAGGTGTCCAAAACAATGAAAGTTAAAAGGCTTGTAAGAGAATGGTGAATTATAAGGGACAAAGATGGGACCACGTGACAGAAAACTCCCTGCCAGTCTGACTAGTTCAGTCTTAGCTTGTCAGTCAATGGAATATAGGAGATGATCTAGAAGAGAAAGATAATCAGAGCTTTATCTAGGTAGCATTTTGCAAGATTATTTGCTACATAGTAATAAAATAAGCAAGGATTCCCTAGGTGGTTTAAACGGTTAACGGGTCCAGCTGTTAACCAAAAGGTTGGAGGTTAGAGTCCATCCAGAGGTGCCTTGCAAGAAAGGCCTGATGATCTATTTCCAAAAAAATCAGCCATTGAAAACCCTCTGGAGCACAGTTTTATTTTGACACACATAGAGTGGCCATCAGTCGGAATAGTTGATTCCCCAGCCCCCTATTTTCTTTTAATATTTTTATTCCAAATATTATATTTCATGAAATAAAGTAGTTAATACTTAAAAAGTTTTCCTGTCCTGTAAGTCACACACAATCTGAGGAGATTTGCTATGCTGTTATCTGTGTGAAAGAGAACAGTAAACAGTCCGGTCAGTCATCTTAATTATTACCAAGTCTTATAAGAAAAATTCCCTATTTTCCCATCTTCTAGGAATACAATTCTTTTGAAGAAGATCTGCACAGACAAAATGAAAATTTGAAAAAAGGCGTTGTCTTAATCCCATGCATAGAATAATCATGAAATTTCATATTCCTTTTTCATATCAATATATGAAACAAAATGGACCCTGAGACATAGGAGAGAAGTTACTGCTCCATGTGTCCACGTATCCTAAATGCAGCCCAGGGGTCTGAGATGTTAGCTCTTTGGTAAAGCACCATTTGGTTCCTTTCTTCACCGACATCCTTTTGTGATTTTACTCAGGAAATACAACATGCTAAGCATCTCTCCATTCCCCATTACTTATACCTTCCAGATTATGAGGTCCTATCTCTAGAGATCAAAACCCCAGAAGCAATGGGGGCAATTAACATGCATCACACAGACCTGAGTGTGTTTCCTCTTCAATGATTATCATGTTGGAGATGAAACTACATAAATGTGCATATGTGCATGTGTGGACGTACACACATACACACACACACATGCACGTTGTAGGCTGTTAACACAGTAATGTTTCCTCCAGAGTTACTTCTTCTGACTTTAATAAATTA